CAGAAGTGGTTGGTGTGTTGCCTTCATTCTGGTGACTCACACAACATCGTCTATATTGCATGCTTACAAGCTGGGGTTCCATCACCGACAGCCTCTTTTCCTTTTTTCCAGTTTTGCCTTCCATTCCTCAAGAGCCGTTGCAGATGTTGTGGTGGTCAGGGCTGCAGCTGCTGCTGTTGCTGAAGAGCCAGACCAAGAGTGGTCTACTACATTGGGAGACCCTGCGTTCCCTGTGGTGGTTATCAAGGATACACCTACATCCCCTCCTACATCCCAGCGCGAAGCTGCTCTGGTCCGGCACACCCTTGCTGCTCTGGTTCACAGGGTTTCAGCCAAGTGAAGAAATGTTAAGGAGACTCTAAAGGCAAGCAGGAGGCCTGCAGTGTCCCAGTTGAACATCGGGGAGAAGTTCTACCTTACTAAAGATGGCACTTCGAAGACCTGCTGGTTTACCTCCTCCTACACTCACCTTGCTGAGACAAGGCTTGCGTTGGCTCCTGTCTCCTCAGCTCAGCTGCACATCTTTTCCTCTTTTCCTTAACTTCCTTCCAGAAATCTCTTGTTAAGGATTTCCTAGCGCTGAAGGATAACTGTCCTCATTTTCTTATTGATGTCTGAACCCGTCTTATCTCGCTAATCCTCAGCAATTCTTTTCCTGGGATGTTCCTGTGCTACAGACTGAAACTGGTTGTATCATACTCCATCTTCTTAAAATGTAGTTCATGCAATGAGCGCCAGTTGAGAATTCTCAGCACCCTCGTCAAACTACATTTCGCAGGGTACCTCATAAGAAATCATGGTACAGGGGGGGAAAAACGTTTATACTGCCGAAAGTCCCTGCCTTTTAAGCATTAAATCTTTCTGAAATTAAAAATGTTTCCATTCTGTGGTGTTTCTCTTTCCCCCCACCCCATCTTTTATCCCCATCTCAAGTAAAATCATCAGAGAAAGGGCATACATTAATATCTCAGCGAATATATTAAAATGGCGTATCTGCTCATCATAGCACATACCCACTGCACTTCTTCCCACAAAGGATGACAGAGTCAAAACACCTGTGGTGTGCTTAAAATGAATTATTCTCCCTGAGAAAGGATGTTTAATCTTGTTTTATAGTACTTTGTCATAGTGGCAACTTTAAGACCAACCAAGTTTAATTCTGGGGATAAGCTTTCGTGTGCATACACAGCTCTTCAGGTACATTGAAACAGACTTCCACAACATTTACATATAGAGAGGGGGGTGACTTGCCAGGATGGGTTAGTTAGAGTCAAGATGCACAAGTGACTGAGCTATAAGTATAGCTAAGGTCGTGGTCACACGGATGTTTAGTGCGGGACTCGCAGCTGATTTCTCCTGCAGTAAAGTTTTCTGCCTACATTATTTCCCAGACTCGCAGCTGATTTCTCCCGCAGTAAAGTTTCCTGTCTACATTATTTCCCAGACTCGCAGCTGATTTCTCCCGCAGTAAAGTTTCCTGTCTACATTATTTCCCAGACTCGCAGCTGATTTCTCCCGCAGTAAAGTTTCCTGTCTACATTATTTCCCAGACTCGCAGCTGATTTCTCCCGCAGTAAAGTTTCCTGTCTACATTATTTCCCAGACTCGCAGCTGATTTCTCCCGCAGTAAAGTTTCCTGTCTACATTATTTCCCAGACTCGCAGCTGATTTCTCCCGCAGTAAAGTTTCCTGTCTACATTATTTCCCAGACTCGCAGCTGATTTCTCCCGCAGTAAAGTTTCCTGTCTACATTATTTCCCAGACTCGCAGCTGATTTCTCCCGCAGTAAAGTTTCCTGTCTACATTATTTCCCAGACTCGCAGCTGATTTCTCCCGCAGTAAAGTTTCCTGTCTACATTATTTCCCAGACTCGCAGCTGATTTCTCCTGCAGTAAAGTTTCCTGTCTACATAGGCAAACCTGCTTCCCGGTCCGAAGCCGGCAGACTCCCGCGGTTTCTGAACTTTTATCCGCGGTTTTTTGACACCTGTTGGAACAGGTGTTTTCTGACATCTCGCGCTTTGTATCCGCGGTTTTGGTATCTGGACAGCAATCTGCCGTGACCGCGCTACCCTCCCCCCCGTTGTTGTTTTTGTGTGTGTGTGTTTCCGGTTTTAGCTATGCGCTTGTGCAAACAGGCGCTAGCTTTTATTTTGGTCTTTTAGATCCCACCGAGGTCGCCGTCTGCACCCAGCTGTCAAATGAGAGAAAAAACCTGCTGAGCACTGACAGAGCCGAGAACTTTGTTGGGAGGGAGCGAGCGAGTTCAAAGCTGCTCCCAGGTGTGTGCGCCGGCTGGCCGGCCAGCTAGCCAGCCAGAGCCGCTCTCGCTCGCTCTCCCAACTCATTCTACCCACACCGCCTCCCCACCCGGCCGGTCTCTTCTCAGCATGGCGGCGGCTGCACATACACAGACCCACTCCCTCGCCTGCTGCTTTTCCCTCACTTATCAGTGCAAGGCGCCACGGGAGAGAAAAGGAGGCGGGCTGGGAAGGGAAGCCCCCGCCTCCGCCGGGCAGGGGAGGAACCCCGGGCAGTGCCTCTTGCCCGAAGGGGAGTGAAAAATTAGGCGACAGGGTTCGCGCCTCCTAAACCTCTCGCCCACTCCGAGTAGGGTCTGGCACTGTGCTTGGGTTGGGGGGGGGTGTTTGCCGCCAGCGGGTAGGAGAAAAGACAGCAAAGGTCTTTTTATTAGTTTGTATGTACGCCCGAGCGCATAGGAAGACGAGCGCATGCCCAGATTAAAAAAAAACCAAAACCCCCCCCGCCTGTGTGAACAGTACTTCGCGCGAGGGAAGCGGAAGACAGAGGGACCGTCTGACCACCTCCACCTCCAAGCGATATATATCTCAAGCGATATAAAATGTCGCGGATATAAGAATTGCGGGAAAACTACCGCAGTAAGAGGTCCGTGTGACCAGACTCTAAGATTGAATGCAAGCAGTTGGTAAGACCTGTGAATAGCAGAAAATTAGCATACAAATAAAAGAGTTTACAAACAGATGTGGGAACTCAGTTTGAGTTCCGTGGCAGCTTTCAGAAGAAAGTTGCATTCTGCGTATGTGAGAACTGAGTGACTTAAGATGCATAAAGTTTGAGTCCAGAGTCACCCTCATAGATTGTAGATTCTCCAAAATGGCTTGGGAATCATAACTGAGAATATGCAGGGATGATATACATCCTCTGACACCCCCCCCCCATGCACCCTTCCTCTCAGGCAAAGGAACTTTGGATATCATGGCATGACCTTGTACAGTTCCACAGGGCCTGTAAAACAGAGCTCTTCTGCCCGGCTTTCAAGTAGGAGCCGCCGCCACTACTATTCCATCAACGCCTTCCCACCACCGCACACCACCACCGCTGGTGCAGGTATCATCGGAGGGAGTGGGACATCCCTAGGGGACGACAGGGTTGAGGGGACATACACTGCTGTGGTTGTTCAGATATAACATCTTAGAACACCATCTTGGTTTTATGTTTCGGAGTGAGTATTGGAGAGCCAATAATTTATTTTTAAGAATCTTATTTAACTGTAGTATGTGTATTATGGTGCTGGAGTCCCTTGGACTGCAAGAAGATCAAATCAGTCAATACTAAAAGAAATCAACCCTGACTGTTCCCTGGAAGGCCAGATAATGAACCTGAAGCTCAAATACTTTGGACACCCAATGAGAAGGGAGCACTCACTGGAGAAGACCCTGATGCTGGGAAAGATCGAAGGTCAAAGAAAACGGGGACGGCAAAGGATGAGATGGTTAGACAGTGTCATAGATGCAACGAACATGAAGTTGAGCCAACTTCAGAGGACGGTGGAAGACAGGAGGGCCTGGCGGGAGTTGGTCCATGGGGTCGCGAAGAGTCGGACTCGACTGTGTGACTGAACAACAAAAATGTGTATTATTGTATTTTATACTGTTTTTATTGTTATAATCTGGCAGTTATGCCTCTGTTAGCCGCCCTGAGCCTTCGGGGAGGGCGGGATACAAATCCAAATAAATAAATAAATAAATGCATAACAGTCAAAAAGCCCAGAGTTTTATCACTTGCCCTTTTCCAGTCTCCTTTCTCTAAAGCAGGGTGGTCAAACATATGGCCCTTCTTTCTTTGTTGGAAAACTTAGAAGTTCTCAGAGGTGTGCTTAAAAAGGAATGTCATGGTAACCCTGTGAACAGCACAAGGGGACTCTGCCACTAAATAAACGTACGGTGGTCATTCGAAGCTGCCTTTGGCCCAGAACTACGATGCAGAGGAGAGGATGGGTTTTTACCTCCATGGTACACCATTTTCTGAAGCTCACAGACACCCTGTGAGGTAGGTGGGGCTGAGGGAGCTCTGACAGAAACTGCTCTTTTTCAAGAACAGCTGTGCCAGAACAGGGTGTCTGTTGTGGTGAGGGGAAGGGAAAGGCGTTTGTAAGCCGCTCTGAGACTCCTTTGGTTAGTGAAGGGCAGGGAGTAAATCCAATCTCCTCCTCCTCCTCCTCCTTTATAAATTAGATTTCTAAACCAGACTACTCCATACTTGGGGCTCAGGGCGATGGGGCTCCTCCAAAGTTTGGTAAATAGCTCCCTGCCAGGATCATTTCAGCTTCAGAAAATGGTGTACCATGGAGGTAGGAACCCCTCCACCCCTCTGCATCGTAGTTCTGGGCCAAAGACAGCTTCCAATGACCACCGTACGTTTATTTAGTGGCAGAGTCCCATTGTGCTGTTCACAGGGTTACCACAACATTCCTTTTTAAACACACCACCGAGAACTTCTAAGTTCTCTGAGAAAGTAAGAAGTTCCCTAACACGAGATAGCATTCATCACCTGCAATTTATGAATTCTTATTTACTAAGAGGGAATAATTGAGCTGAGGAACACAAACTGGAACGTGGCACTACATAAGCTCATTAATAATTAGGACTTAGCCACCCTTTGAAGGTGTCTCATTTCCTTAGGGAGGGATCCACTGGGCTGTATAAAAGGTCCTTCTCCCACATGTTCTCCATTCATTCTCTGAATCTACCATTGCTCTTTCCATTGAGAAATAAGGTAAGTTGAATCTTACTGATCTTTATTGGTAGCAGGAAAAAAGATTACTTTGACAGACATTGGATGCGCTGGAGTTAAATAGTAGGTGAAGGGTGAGGGGAAGATCCTACAATGTCTACACATGTTGAGGAGGATCTCTCCTTCCCTTTTCTAGTGATCTTCTTTCCATTTTGGTTCAATCGCTTTTCCAGAAGGATCCGGTTGTAACAGATGAGTGCATCTGGATCTGAGAGACTGGTGTACTGAACAGTGTATTGAACGTCACAAGATCAGCTGTAGGCTTTGTATGGTCAGGACAAAACTTCTAGGTGCAGAGAAGGAAGGCGAGTTCTTGGAGGAAAAGATGTGAGATGGAAAAATTGCTACCTGTGGCTCAGTGAAAAAAGTGTGAGAGATGTGTCTGTATGGTTGCTTAATCTCTGAAACAGAGGAGGATGTAGCATATCAGAAATGCAACACACCCAAAGAGGACAGAATATATTTGGTGGACATATAAAGCCACCTTGTAACGTATAAGACAATTCATCCATTGAGCTCAGGTCTAGATTGACAGGAAGAAACTCTCCTGGATGTTAGGAAGACAAAGGGCTCATCTAACATCTCCCATCATCTGAGACATTTTATCTCAAGGTGACATAGATCAAACCTGGAACCATCTGCATACAAAGCATGTGTGCTGAACCTGGACCACACTATGTGTCCCATCAGAAGGGAACATACAAAACTGGCTTATGGCAAAGGAGGCTGTGTCTAACTGGGGATGCCATGGACTAAGTGTGGTACCTTTGGCATGCCAAACACACATTTTGTTGATGAGACATCCATATGTGTACTCCTAGACGAATTGGAATAGGAAGATTAGGAATTCTCTTGGTGACGTATTCCACACAGCATCTCAAGTATTAATCCAGAAGGAGACAATGGCCAAGTCTCAGATATAAGAACATGAGACCCACTGGTGGACCTCCTGATGGCACTGGCATTTCTGGCCACTGTGTGACACAGAGTGTAGGACTGGATGGGACTTTGGCCTGATCCAACATTGGCATCTCTCATGTTCTTATGTTCTTATGAGAGAAGCCAAGGTTGGATCAGGCCAGTGGCCCATCCAGGCCAACAGTCTGTCACATGGTGGTCAAATCAAAAATACCAGGTGCCATCAGGAGGTCCATCAGTGGGGCCAGGACGCTAGAAGCTCTCCCACAAATCTAGAGCGGAAGGGTTGATCATCAAAGTGCCTACTTGGGAACATGGAGGAACTGAGTGGAATCAGCACTGAGTGAGTAGAAGATGCCGAGAGATCAAAGAGGAAAGGAGAATAAACTTAGTGGGGAGGATCAAAGTGAGCAGAAGTGACTGGAAGAAAGCAGTGGGCATTGAAAAGGACAGGCAAAGAAAGGGAAAGGAAGCTGAGAGAGTAAGCGGGCTTTCAAAAAAATAAAGACCAAGAAAATTAAGAATGAAGATCACAGGCCCTCTTGATTTGGGCGTGGAACAGTGGTCACTGGGGGGGTGTATTTTTGAATTTTCTCCACTGTCCGTGGGGTTGGACAAGAGGACCCTGGAAGTCCCTTCCAACTCTATGATTCTAGGATTTTGTTACTCGGTGACTGTCCTGTCAATCAAAGAAGCTTGTTGGGGGGCTTGAAAATATTATGCATGATAAGTATTATCATTGTTGTTATTTATTCTAGCATACAATAAAATGTGTCTGAATTCTAGTAATACAATGGCTATTTTGAAATCCCTCCCCAAAAATTCTGTCAATGGAACTATCTTCATATATTTGAAGTATCCCTGTGAAACAAATTCTGTTTTTAGTAGGAATAGAAGAATTGTGTTAATAATGGAAATACACAAATGATTGATTCTGAAACTTTTTAAACTGGCTATGACAGCAGTGGCTTCCTAAGCAAAGTTATACCCTTCTAAATCCATTGAAGTCAAGGATATAACTGCTTAGCAAGACTGACCTTGTTTGTTTATTTGTTTGTTTGTTTCAATTTAAATTCCGCTTTCCCCGCAAGCGGGCTCAGGGCGGATCACAGAGCAAATCAAGACATCATAAAATTACAATATGTGATTAAATATAAAAACAGTTAAAACTGTACAAAACAACGTAAAATAAAACAGGTCACACTCTTTGTATGCCTAGATTTCAAGCTGGTGCCAATTTCTTCTTTGTAAGCCGCTCTGAGATCCAGTTTGGTGTAGTGGTTAAGTGCGCGGACTCTAATCTGGGAGAACCGGGTTTGATTCCCCACTCCTCCACTTGCACCTGCTGGATGACCTTGGGCAAGCCATAGTTCTGGCACAGCTGTTCTTGAAAAAGAGCCGTTTCTGTCAGAGCTCTCTCAGCCCCACCCGCCTCCCAGGGTGTCTGTTGTGGGGAGGGGAAGGGAAAGGAGATTGTAAGACGCTCTGAGACTCTGAGTGAAGGGCAGGGTATAAATCCAATCTCTTCCTCCTCCTCCTTCTTAATCTGGGCCATAAAAAGATGGTAAATTTCAGCAAGGGGGGGGGAGTGAGATTTTATTGGTGGAACAGCTCCATTTTACAGGCCCGGCGTAATGATAATAAGTCCCCTTGATGGTTATGTCAGTCCCCGGCAAGCAGCAAGAAAGCTTTGTCTATAAGCTTACACAGGACCACCGGACATGGCTGGTGTGCTGCCTTCATTGTTGTGGCTCACAAAACATCATCTGTATTGCATGCTTAAAAGTTTGGGTTCCTTCATCGACAGCCTCTTTTCCTTCTTTCCAGTTTTGCCTTCGACCCCTCAAGATGAGCTGTTGCAGACGTTGTGGTGGCCGGGGCTGCAGCTGCTGCTGTTGCCGAAGAGCCAGACCAAGAGTGGTCTACTACGTGGGGAGACCCTGCGTTCCTTATGGTGGTTATCCAGGGTACACCTATGTCCCCTCCTACATCCCAGCACGAAGCTGCTGCTGTTCGGCACGCCCTTGCTGCTCTGGCTCACAGGGTTTCAGCCAAGTGAAGAAATGTTAAGGAGACTCTCAAGGCAAGCAGGAGGCCTTCAGTCTTCCAGTTGAACATCAGGGAGAAGTTCTACCTTACTGAAGGTGGCACTTCGAAGACCTGCTGGTTTACCTCCTCCTCCACTCACCTTGCTGAGATAAAGCTTGCGTCAGCTCCTGTGTCCTCAGCTCAGCTGCACATCTTTTCTTCTTTCCCTTAACTTCCTTCCAGGAATCTCTTGTTAAGGATTTCCTAGCGCTGAAGGATAACTGTCCTCATTTCCTTGTTGATGTCTGAACCCGTCTTCTCTTGCGACTCCTCGGCAATTTCCTGGGACGTTCCTGTGCTACAGACTGAAACTGGTTTTATCATACTCCATCTCCTGCTTAAAATGTAGCTCATGCAATGAGGGCCAGTTGAGAATTCTCAGCACCCTCGTCAAACTACATTTCCCAGGGTGCCTCAAAAGACATCATAGTACAGAAAAAAATACGTTTATACTGTCGAAAGTCCCTGCCTTTTAAACATTAAAACTTTCTAAAATTAGAAATGTTTCCATTGTGTGGTGTTTCTCTCCCCCCCTCCATCTTTTATCTCCATCTTAAGGTAAATCATCAGAGAAAGGACATACATTAATATCTCAGGGAAGATATTAAAATGGCGTATCAGCTCATCATACCACATACCCACCTGTGCTTCTTGCCACAAAGGATGACAGAGTCAAAACACCTGTGGTGTGCTTAAAATCAGTTATTCTCTCAGACAAAGGATATTTAATCACAGATTAATAGAATCATAGAGTTGGAAAGGGGCCATACAGAACATCTAGTCCAACCCCCTGCCCAATGCAGGACCAACCTAAAGCATCTCTGACAAATATTTGTCCAGCCTCTTCTTGAAAGCTGTCAGTGAAGGGGAGCTCACCACCTCCCTAGGCAGCTTGTTTTCTTCTACTTTGTCATAGAACAAAAACTGAGTACAGTGGCATCTTTCAGACCAACCAAGTTTAATTCTGGGGATAAGCTTTCGTGCGCATGCACACCTCTTCAGGTACATTGAAACAGACTTCCACAACCTTTACATATAGAGAGGGGGGTGAGTTGCCAGGAAGGGGTAGTTAGAGTCAAGATGCACAAGTGACTGAGCTATAAGTATAGCTAAGATTCAATTAAAGCAGTTGGTAAGACCTGTGAATAGCAGCAAAATAGCATACAAATAAAAGAGTCCACAAACAGATGTGAGAACCCAGTTTGAGTCCAGTGGCACCTTTTAGAAGAACAATGTTTAATTCTGGGTATGTGAGAAATAGGTACCGCTTCGGTGGGAAGGTAACAGCGTTCTGTGCACCTCGTTGTCTAGTCATGCTGGCCACATAACCACGGAAACGTCTTCGGACAGTGCTGGCTCTTTGGCTTTGAAATGGAGATGAGCACCGCACCCTTGAGTCAGATTCGACTGGCTTTTGAGCAAGGGAAACTTTTACCTTTACCTTTTTATGTGAGAACTGAGTGACTTAACATGTGTAAAGTTTGAGTCAAGAGGCAACCTCATAGATCGTAGATTCTCCAAAATGGCTTGGGAATCATAACTGAGAATATGCAGGGGTAAATTACAGCCTCTGACCCCCATGCACACTTCCTCTCAGGCAAAGGTCCTTTGGATGTCATGGCACTGATGCATAACAGTCAAAAAGTCCAGGGTTTAATCACTTTCACTTTTTATGTCTCCTTTCTCTAAAGCAGGGTTGTCAAATCTATGGCCCATGATCTAGGGCTCTTATCTGGCCTGTGAGCAATTGGCCGTTAACTTTAAGAACATAAGAATGTAAGAGAAGCCAATGTTGGATCAGGCCAGGGGTGTCCAAACTGTAGTTCAGGAGCCGAATGCGGCTCTTTCACACAGTCTAACGTAATGTTAATAGAAAGTTAATTTGCATATTTTTCAATAAAAACATGTGTGTAATATTTGTTCATGTCTTGAGGCTCTCAAACATCTGATGTTTATTCTGTGTGGCTCTTACATTAAACAAGTTTGGACACCTCTAGATCAGGCCAATGGCCCACCCCGTCCAACACTCTGTCACACAGTGGCCAAAAATACCAGGTGCCATCAGGAGGTCCAGTAGTGGGGCCAGGACACTAGAGGCCCTACCACTCTTCCCCCCCCCCCAAGCACCAAGAATACAGAGCATCACTTGCCCCAGATTGAGAGTTCCTATCTATACCTTGTGGCTAATAGCCACTGATGGACCTCTGCTCCATATGTTTATCCAATTCCCTCTTGAAGCCATCCATGCTTGTAGCTGCCACCATCTCCTGTGGCAGTGAATTCCACATGTTAATCCCTCTTTGGGTGGAAAAGTACTTCCTTTTATTCAGTCTAACCCGACTGCTCAGCAATTTCATGGAGTGCCCATGAGTTCTTATATTGTGAGAAAGGGAGAAAAGTACTTCTTTCTCTACCTGCTCTAACCCATGCATAATCTTGTAAACCTTGATCATGTCACCCCTCAGTCATCATTTCTCCAAGCTAAAGAGCCCCAAGTGCTTTAACCTTTCTTCATAGGGAAAGTGTCCCATCTCTTTTATCATTCTACTTGCCCTTTCCTGCACTTTTTCCAGTGCTATAATATCCTTTCTGTGGTGTGGTGAACAGAACTGTACGCAGTATTCCAAATGAGGATGCAGCATCGATTTATACAGGGGCATTATGACACTGGATGATTTGTTTTCAATCCCCTTCCCAATAATCCCCAGCATAGTGTTGGCCCTTTTTGTTGCAGCGGCACACTGTCTCGGCATTTTCAGTGAGTTATCTACTACAACTCCAATATCTCTCTCTTGGTTTTATCCTTTAAGTTTTATCCTGGAAGCTGTCCTGAGCCCGCCTGGCAGGGAGTTTGGGGTAAAGGTGGAATAAATGATTTTATCCTTTAATTCTCTTTAATAACAAACTTTTCCATTAACGAAGGCCTGGTTCATTTTGAGACGCCTTCTGAGGGGAAAATCCCCATAAACATAAGTGGAGATCCTGCTCGATTACTCCCTCTTGCATTGTCTGAGTCTCCAGTCTGGTTTAGTGGTTAAGTGTGCGGACTCTAATCTGGGAGAACCGGGTTTGCTTCCCCACTCCTCCACTTGCACCTGGCTGGATGACCTTGGGCAACCCATAGTTCTGATAAGAGCTGTTCTTGAAAAAGAGCAGTTTCTGTCAGAGTTCTCTCACCCCCACCTACCTCACAGGGTGTCTGTTGTGGGGAGGGGAAGGGAAAGGAGACTGTAAGCTGCTCTGAGACTCCTTTGGGTAGAGAAGGGCGGGGTATAAATCCAATCTCTTCTTCTTCTTCTTTCACCTCACAGTGTGTCTGTTGTGGGGAGGGGAAGGGGAAGGAGTCTGTAAGCCGCTCTGAGACACCTTTGGATAGTAAAGGGCGGGGTATAAATCCAATCTCTTCTCTTCTTCTTCTTCTTTTACCTCACAGGGTGTCTGTTGTGGGGAGGGGAAGGGAAAGGAGCTTGTAAGCCGCTCTGAGACTCCTCTGGGTAGTGAAGGGCCATGGGGTATAAATCCAATCTCTTCTCTTCTTCTTCTTTTACCTCACAGGGTGTCTGTTGTGGGGAGGGGGAGGGGAAGGAGTCTGTAAGCCACTCTGAGACTCCTCTGGGTAGTGAAGGGTGGGGTATACATCCAATCTCCTCCTCCACTCCTCCTCCTCCTCCTCTTCTTCTTCCTTGCTAATTTCCCCAAGAAACTCAAGAGACCCTCACAACCACTTAGGGTAACACAGGTGAGGCCTGAGGTCTCCCAGGATAACAACTGAGCTCCAGACTACAGAGATCAGGTCCTCTGAAGAAAGTAGCAGCTTCAGAGAGTGGGCTCTATAACATCCTATCCCTCCTGAGCAACTTCCACTCCCAAAGGCCCCATCCTCCACTTCACCAGGAATGTCCCTTCTTGAAGCTGGTGGTCCTACAGCTACCACCTGCTTCCCGTGAGCTGAGGGCTGCCCCCCGCTTGGACCTGGTTGGTAGGAGCTGGAAGGTGTGGCAGCTGTGATTCTGGGGACTTTTTTTTGCCAGGAGCCCAGAATCATTAATAGATGTCCAAGACTGCTTTTCATTTTAAAAAGTTGAGGAAAATAGACACACAACCAAGTCTGTTTTGGTCCTGACAACTAGGCCAGAAAGATAAGGCAGGCTAAACAACCCCTGGGGATCAGGAACTTCAGGAATCGGGAGCAGGTGCCAACTTCCCACACAAAACCACACCGAGAGATATGGCTGCCCTAGGAATCTGTATACCTTTCCTGGAAAAGCACAGTTTGTGTTGGATCGCCGCTAACAAAGAACCGGAGAGTGATTTCAACAAAAGTGATCAGCTTTATTGTAGATACGAACAAGCGCTTGAAAGAAGTCATAACCAGAACAGTTTAAAATTGGGAGCTAGGCTCCTTTTAAACCTTCCCGGGCTAATATAGCCACGCCCATTTACCATAAACAACCAATGAGGTTGATTGGATAACGTCCAATGAGAGTTCTTCCCTCGCAGGGAATTGGTGCAGTTCTGATTGGTCGCTGTTGTGGAGCGACCAATAGCAAGTTCGTTCGGCGGAGCCTTCCTCGGGCTCGAGCTTAACATGGAGAGTGAATGCGGCGATTCATGTAAGCTATTTCGAATACACCACATTTTGTGTGCTGGTCTGTTCATAGAACCTTTGTTACGATGGAAAAGTTCAGCCCTGACCTGGATAGCCCAGGCAAGCTCGATCTCATTAGATCTCAGAAGCTAAGCAGGGTTGACTGTGGCAGGTCCTTGGACAGGAGACCTCCTTGGAATACCAGAGGTGGGGGCAGGCTTTATTCAGCCACCTCTCTGAATATCCTCCAGGACCCCAATAGGGGTCAGTCACCAGAGGTCACCATGACTTCTAGGTGCACACACAGTCAGTCACCAGAGGTCATACACACACATGGAGATATGGAAAATACAACACACACACACACACAAACAAAGATTGAAAGATTCATGATTGATAAAAGGAGAACAATAACTTTCATTATTTTAGCATTCCATCCAAAGAACAGTTGAAGCATAAGCAATAGGGCTGCCAATCCGCGACGGGGGATCCGCACATCTTCACAGGATCCCTGCCGCGGGGGGACAGCGATACGCATTGCACCGGTGTTGCCAGGATGTAATGTATTGATACGATTACATGAATCACCTCATTGAACTCCCATGTTAAGCTTAGAGCCAAGCTAGGGCTCCTCCGAACGGACTTCCCATTGGTCGCTCTGTATCAGTGACCAATCAGAACTGTACTATTCCCTGCGAGGGAAAGACTCCCATTGGTCTTTAACTCATCAATCTCATTGGTTGTTAAATGTAAATAGGCGTGGCTATATTAGCCCGGTAATGTTTAAAAGGAGCATAGCTCCCAGTTTTCTTGTTCTGGTTTTGAATGCGTTTGAGTGTTTGTTCGCTACTTCAAATAAAGCTGAATCACTGAGCTGAAATCATTCTCCGATCCTTTGTTAGCGCGATCT